GAGAGAGAGAGAGAGAGAGAGAGAGAGAGAGAGAGAGAGAGAGAGAGAGAGAGAGAGAGAGAGAGAGAGAGAGAGAGAGAGAGAGAGTTGTTTGTGTGCACCACTGTGGACAGCCTGTACCTGTGTAGTAAGTGGGTTCCTCAGCGCCCAGAGACTTACAATGAGTCACTCTGAATCCAGCAGCCAATGATTGTCTTCCTCTGGTTCAACCCCCTTTGCCAGAATGAGAGGCAGATCCAGAAGGAGAAGAGCCAATGGGCTTCTCTAAATTTGGTCTCCGTATCAGCCTAGCGGCTAAAACTTCTGATACGTCAGACTGCTACCGGTAGAAGTAAGGGACTATCAGCAAAAATCCATGCAGAGAAAAAAATCGCAATGACGGACGTGTCCTACCGGAGTATGCACACGCTCAAAAAATGCCCTTGAAAAAATGCCCTGGACCTCTTGCATCTCCAAAGACAGTCTGACAGGGACATTCTAGCAATTGCAACGTTAAGGGGGGACCCGTCGGTAATTGTTTTTCTCCGGTATGAACAGGCGTGCATGGGGAACTTGTGGGACCAGAACTCCAAGATTCGGGAAACGGGAGAAAGTGTCTCGTGCATGTGGGCAGGCTCTACTGGTGCTGTGTCCATTCCGTTTTTTTTTTCCCGCTTATAAAAATAAGCCATATTCTTCTCTCAATCTATACTCATCTTTCTCACCTGTCTCATCCTCTGGTAGTCTATGTATGTATAGTACGGGGAACACCAACTAACCCGGATTTTTTTATTTTTTTTTTGGAAGAAATTGAGGCCGGGAATCCTCACAAACAACCCGTATAAACAATGCTTCTGCTGGGGCAAGGTCCCACTTGCACGGATTAGGAGATCGCGGCCGTTGATCTTCGCTATCGACGGTCGATATGGCATAATTCGTGCAAGTGGGACCTAGCCCCTGGAAAATGGGGTCCATCTTCCCAACCACTTATCCCACTAAACAATTCTCCCGAAGGTAAGTTTGAAGCACAGGTGTCAAAGGTAGGAGTGCTGGAAATCCCGACCAGCCCCCCTTTCCCGTACCTTACGTCTATATTCTTCTCTCAGTCTATCTACATACTCATATTCCTCATCTGTCTCGTCCTCTCTCTACGGTAGTCTATGTATGAATAATACGGGGGGCACCAACCAACTCGGATCTCTTCCCGGCCCACGGCGTAGGTTTGTACCACAGGAGTGGTGCGAGAGCAAGGCTTTGCCAGCCCCTCATCACGGTCAGGGTGATGCGGGGTGGGCAGGGCAATGCCGATGGGGGAAACCGGCGGTTGACGTCACGGTCACTCTACTCTTCCGTCATCGGGACTCGGACCCCTGTTAACCGCGGGTTAAGGTGGGTGAGAGCCACGAATCCTAACCAGACTACCCGTCTTCACCCGAATATAACGCCCGCTCACTATAGCTGTAATGGGGCCATTTTTTCAGTCCAGTTTCAGCGATAATGACCAGGCGTTCTACTCGGGGGAAGACGAGACTAGGACGGAGGGCACTCTACTGTTTATAACGGTACTTTTTTTGGCTGAAAAATTTTGATCATGGGCGTCGCTGCACTACTCTGCATAATGCACAAACGACAAAAAAGATGGCAAAGTATGTTTCCATGTTCTAGCGGTGGGTTCAGTTTCATTTTGCACATTTGGAGAGTAATGCAGGGAGGCCTCATTTCTCGGTTCTTGCATGTCATCCTTGCGCAGGGGCCAGAACGAAGCTATGTCCGTCCTGACCTAGCATGAACCTAACGATTTTGACGACCAGGTTCGCCCATTCTGAGCACGCACATTGAAGGAAGCTATGTCCGTCCTGACCTATGTAGTATGAACCTAATAAGTATTTTGACGACCAGTATCGCGCATTCTGAGCACGCGCATTGCACCAGCTGGGCTTGATTCTTCTTCACAGCCCGGCGCACTCAAACACGACTGGCTGTCTGGTTAGAAAGGCAAAGAGGCCAACCGCGTTGACGTCATCTGGGCCGCACCACCTTGATGAGGAAAGCATGGTGAAGGTCGTGAGCTATGGCTATGGCGATGGCGATGAAGATGTGTGCGTTGCCCGTCCACGGGCGGACACGTACTCGGTGGATCCGTCACTCTTCTTCTACGCGGAAGCAGCTTTCATGGGGGCAATCCCAAGCTACCGGTAGTTCTTCAGGACATCAGATGATCGTCGGTCGCGGACGTTCACGTACCGGTAGCCGTTCGTGTACGCACACGTTGATCACGAAGGAGAGGGAAGACGAACCTCCTTCCCTCCATGACCTTTTTCCACGGGCGATGGCGAAAGCGGGCTCCGAGGTGCGAATGGTGGCAGCGATGGCGCGAAAGCTGATGATCGAATCGGATGGTGTGAAGACGAAGGCGCCGCTGGGCGGTAGCGCGCTGGACTGTCTCCCTAGGCGAAGCAAGCCTAGCCTACCGGTCGTGCAAATTTCACACTCGTGGCGCTGTACAGCTTGCGCGCGTACCGGGGGCAGCAGCGCAGCAATTTCGCACCCGTCGCGCTGTGATCGGGTTCGAAAACAGGCAGCTTGCGCGCGAACCGGCGGTGGCAGCGCAGGAGTTTCACACTCGTCGCGCTGTGATCGGGTTCGAAAACAGACAGCTTGCGCGCGAACCGGCGGTGGCAGCGCAGCAGTTTCGCACACGTTCTGTGATCGGTTTGGAGAGGGGATAGCCTGCGCGCGAACCGGCGGAAGCAGTGCAGCAGGCGGGTGGAGGAGACCGGGAGCTGTCGGAACGCGGGTTCGAAAACAGGCAGCTTGCGCGCGAGCCGGCGGTGGCAGCGCAGCAGTTTCGCACTCGTCGCGCTGTGATCGGGTTCGAAAGCAGACAGCTTGCGCGCGAACTGGCGGCAGCAGCGCAGCAGTTTCGCACTCGTCGCGCTGTGATCGGCTTGGAAAGCGGATAGCTTGCGCGCGAACCGGCGGAAGCAGTGGAGCAGGCGGGTGGGGGAGAGCGGGAGCTGTCGGAACGCCACGGCAGGCGTCACAGCGGCGGCGGGAATCGATCCGATCACCTTCCGCGAAGGAGGTCGGGGATGGGCGGAGGGCTGTGCGTCGGATCTCTTTTCGGCAGCTGTGTGACAGGCACATGCACATAGCCAGCCGGTGCGACAGCGACTGCGGGGGACGATGGGGTGTACGACGCGCGAGCGGCACGACTACGGGTAGCAATGAACATGTCGTGATGGACGACAACGACGACGAGGAGAAGACGGAGGATGGTTCTGAAGACAACCACGTTAATCGGGATTGGGATGGGGATGTTCCGGTGAACACAGACATGCAAGGAGATGAGGCCCGGGAGCCATGGCGGGTAAGCTCATGGCGGGAAAGACAGGAGAAAGGTGCGGAGGAAGACGGAGGAGGGAGAAAGAGAGAGGGCAAGGCTCTGCGAATAGAAAAAGAGAGGGAGATTAAGAGTACATCAAGGGGAATTATTGCATCTCAACAGCGTGAATCTGTGACGAAGTATGCTCGGCGGGCTATGGAAGAGTCTGTTCCTCCCGAAGGCTACGTGCTTCTGTTGTCCTGCGTTGTTGGTCTGATGACCGGCGCTGCCGTCGTCGTTTTCAACGACATGGTGAGTGAATCAGTACACACACCGTACTGTGTCCTTGCTTCTTACTTAAGTTTTACTTATTTATGAATTATTTGGGCAGGTGTTTTTCTCAGCGGGTTTGACAAACTATCCAATTCACTCGCTTAAATTTTATTTATTTATTTATTTATTTATTTATTTATTTATTTATGATTTGGGCAGGTGTTTTTCTCAGCTGGTTTGACAAACTACCCAATTGACTCGCCAGCGATGCTGCACCATACGAATAGAATAGAGGAGGTCTCGCATCAAGAGAAAAGGGGCAAAAAAGGAAAACGAAGAAGGCGCCATGGTCTGTCGAGAAAGGATCGTCTTTAAAAGAAAGAAAAAAAGGAAAAAGAGAAAGGATTGCCTTTGAAAGTCCGTGAAACTACTCCGTCGTAGCCGTAAACCCCACTCACTCAGCCAGAGGGGATATCCCTCTCTACACGTACGCGCGGGCGGGCGGGCGTGCGTGTGTGTGTGTGTGTGTGTGTGTGTGTGTGTGTGTGTGTGTGAGAGAGAGAGAGAGAGAGAGAGAGAGAGAGAGAGAGAGAGAGAGAG